TTTAACTGCTTGTATTTTGTATCTGTATTTTCTGCTTTTTTTTTTTTTTCTTCTCTTTACTTCTTTTGAATTAGAAGATTTTTCTTTATTTTTTTCTTCAAATATTCTTCTTTCACTATGCAGAAAATCTTTGATCTTCTCATCTATATTCATAAGTTCAACTAGAATGCTCTCAGAAGTGATTAGCTAGATCCTCTCTAGCTGTACCTTTTGTCTTTTCTAATTTTTCTAATCTTTTTCAAATTTGTTTCAAGAAGTTCTCTATATATGGTTCTCTTTCTTGTTTATGAATTTTGAATTCTTCTGGTCTTCTCTTAAAGTCTTTTATTTTTTTTTTCTCATCTTTGTATCTTTTGTATAGTTTTCTTTATTTTAGATTTGAGATCTGCTTCTTTTGTTTAGTAGAATATTCTTCTAATTTACACTATTTTTGTTTCTGTACTTTTTTGCATAGGCCCTATTTCTTTGTTTTTCTCTGCTGCTTCTATTCTCTTTTGCATATAAAATTTAGTTGTGTTTGTCTCAACTTCTTCCTCTTTCTATTTTAAGACCTTTTCTTTTTCTTGTCTCTCTTTTTTCTTCATTTATTCAATAGACTTGAAAGTTGTTATACATAATCAGTTTTGTTTGAATAGCTTTCATGTCTTTTTCTATTACAAATATGACTATTGCTATTCTTTTTGGTTTCCATTTCTATTTGGTGGAGTTTAAACTAATTTAACCTCTTTGTTCTTTAAACTTTATAATAGTAGAACTTCTAAGATGTTTTCTGATAAGTCTGTCAGTTTTGCTATGTATTTTCTTTGTTCTTTCTTTGCTTTATGGTCTTCTATTCTTTTGGTTACTTATACCAATTTATTATTGTTTACTGATATAGCTTATAGGATATCTTTATATGTTTTTTCTATCTTAACTACTGCTAAAGCTTTATATTTGGATTTTTTAATTTTTACTATATAGGCTTTTCTAAATCTTTTACAGATATATTCCAATTCTTTTTTGTTTATATCTACAAATAAGTTTCAAATCATTAAATAATTTGTGTTTTCTGATTCTTCATTTGTTTTATATTGGTTTTTATTTGTCTTAATTTTATTTCCTTTCCATTTAAGTTCTTTTTCTTTAGTTCTCAATTTGATACTATTTCTCTTTTAACTTTTCTTCTTATGTTGCATTTGTCTCTTTATAGTGTCTTTTTTTTCTTTTGATATTATTCTATACTAGTCACTTTCTTTTTTGCTAATTTTTATATTGCTTCATTTTTGTTGTACACACAGTCAAAGTCAACTTCTATTCATAGGTTTCTTCTTTTAAAAACTTCTTTAACATCTTTGACATGTATATTATTTCTTAAAGACTATCTGATAAATTTCATGCATTCTTCTTTTGTTTTTTCTGATATATTGTATGCTGGTATATTTGTAAGTAGGCTGTTGTTCTGATTACAATTTTTTTTGCTTGGAGCCTATATGCTCTCTTCAAGAGGTTCTTCTACTATGACAATTTTCTTTTCGACTTCTAGTTTGCTGTTTTCTTATTCTTGCTTCTCTTTTTATTTTTCTGTATTTCTTTTTTAACTAGATGAATTCTTTTTTCTTGATTATTGTTTAACTGACTTACCTTTATGCTTACTTCTCTTTGTATGCTTTTTGCATTATTCTGCACTTTTTTTTTAACTACTTCTTCAATTTCTGTTTTTTTTTTCTATGACATTTTGTACACTTCTTGTTTTTGGTTCAATTTTGTTAACTGTTGTTGAATCTCTTTTCCTTTGTCTTGTATATGTCTTGTTGTAGATTCTTGTATTATATTATTTTTGTTTTGTTTAATGATATTGATTCTCTTTTTTAGTTGCTTATCTTCTGTTTTCTTAATTATTTCTCTAGTTATATGTAACAAAGCAACTTCTAATGCATCTTGTTCTGTTAGCATGGCTACAATTTCATCTTTTCTATCTAGTATCACAAATATTCTATTAGTTTAATTAAAAAACACCTTGTTATATATGCTATTTACTGCCCAATATGCTCTTCTGATGTATGTTATTATTAGACTTTCTTTTTAGTTTTGTATACTACTCATATTTAGTCTAATTATTATTGGCTTTTATTTTGTTTAGTATATTTAATATTTTATTTGGTTTATTATTAAATAAGTATTTTTAGATTATAGTAGATAGATTAGTGTAATTTTTAAATTTGTTTAGTACTGTAATATAGTATATTTGTATTTGTAAATTATGAATTAAAAAATTAATTAATATTTTATTAATTTATAAGTTTCTTTATACAAAATTTGTTTTATTTCTAATAATATTTAAAAAAAAATTATAGGATTTAATTAGTTTTTTTTTTTATTAAAAGTCTTACTTTGTAGTGATATTTTTTTGACTTTTATTGAGTTAGTTATTACAACTATTTTTATAAAAATGAGAGTAAACTAGTCATATATGCAACTTTTGGTTGCCTATTTAAGTAGTCTGCTCTAAGGTTCTATATTAGATGTCATATCTATAACCTATTAAGAGATTATTTATTTAAATCTTCTGATCATCTGTCCTGTCATTATGTAATCCCAACTAACTCTCTGTATATATCTAACTAGTATATCATTTAAGCAGTATAGTATCTTCTCTTTTTATACTAGTTTTTAAGTTATTATATATTTTAGAATATATCATCTGCCAGTAAGATGCAGAGGGCTCTCTGTTGTTAACTATTTATTCATTTTTAGAATACTAACAAGAAGTACTCTTATAGAGTTTATCCAAACCCTAATACTAACTCATAGCATATTCCTAGTACTTTTAGTATATAGCTGCTTTAATCTTAAATTTTCAATCTAGATAGCTTAGAAAGACTGTAATCTGTCTTTGGTATATTGAGACTGGCTCAATATTCTTTTTTTTGATCCAAAATCTGGCAGCCTAGTTGATGATACCCCTTATCTGAAGTTTTTACCCACCCAATTCCTCTATATTGGTATTCATTTCCTAGATCTAAACTTTACAGTAGTATCATTAAAGATCCATATTATCTCACTGTTTAGAATTTCTAAATAAACTCTGATTTCCTAGTTCTATAAATTTACATAGTTCAAGAACTTATTTTAGATTTGCACCATCCAGTACCAGTTTGTATTTTTTTATATAACAGGTTATACAGATATTTCAAATCTGCTAGTCATGCTGATGTAACTATAGTTACAGATATTCTATTTCAACTAATCGACAAAATGTTATCACTATAATACCATCTATATATTATATAAATAATTATCTAAATTTCATTATCAGTAGATTTTGAACTCATAGCCTATCACTTGAAGAGATGACAACTTATTCACTTCACTAAGTCATCACACTTCTATAATTTGATTAATTAATTATTATATATAATTATAAATAATTTATAAAAATTAACCAATTATATAATATTTTCTTAAGTATAAATATGCTTTTTGGCTATATAATATAACTATAAGCATGTTTCATACCTCTGTGTTCTGAATTTTAGCTGTTAGATGTAATATAAAGATCAGAATGTTTAATTAGATACTTTCTTAGCAGATTACAGATATGACAACTAGTATAGAACCTATAAGCAAACTACTTAAATAGATAATCAAAAACTAAATATATGACTAGTTATATACTTATCTTGTATAAGTTATGTAATTATAATTAAATCATGATAAAGACAATAGCTGTTAATAACTAATAACCTTAGCAAAAGAAAAAAAAAATTTACTCTTCAAATCTACTTCACACCTATTTCAATCTTTTTTTTCTAATTTTATTTGTTTTAAAATCAATTTCTAATATATACAATAACATAAATATCAAACTAATCTCTTATATATAATTACTAACACTCAAATTTAAGTAAGCTCTAATCACTTCTGTTGGTTTAGATCACAGATAAACTAGTCTGAACTTTTACTTTTTTTTATAATATTTTTAAAAATAAATTTATGTTTTATATGTATAAAAATTTTAAATAAATATTTAATAAAGATAAAAATATAACCTTATTATTAATATTAAAAAAAAAAAAACCTATAATGATCATTACCTAAAGAGCTATATTTTAAAAAAATACACTAAAAAACAGTGATCAGAAAAACTAAGTAAAAATATTCAAATTTCTAAAAACCTTATGTAACCTAAAATCTGAACTATTATATCTAATCCTTTGCTTCTGTCTCAAACTGCACTCTAACTCTAAAAATAAGAGCAATAATGATCACCATGAGTTAATTGTAGTATTTTCTAAATCAAAATTTATCTAAAATTTGTTAAATTCTTTGTTGTTATTAGAAAAAATTTCGAATTTTTAGTGTTGGTCATTTTAGGTCATATCAAACTTTATATCTAGATTTGAATATTTGTCGGATTATCTGGAGATCAAATCGAACTTTACCGAGGACTGTTCCCCCGTTGGTGTAACTTGAACCGTCGAATAATGGAGACTGATCAGCATTTTTTCCGGGATGCTTTTGCACCGATCAAAACAAACTTCTGCTGTGCTTTCCCAGTATAGCAATACGCTTTGGACTTGAACTTTTTGCACATGCAGAATATAAAGGAGTTTCAAGTTCCAAAATTGGGACTGGCTAATTAATGGTGTACACTTAGGGTAGACTTAGGAAGGTTTTCAAGGAATTTTATTCGAATAAGGGATTAAATGCAAAACTGATTTTTTGAATGAATAATAAAGATTTTTACATTCATTGTATAGAATGATACGAGAGAAGATAATCTGCGATAATTCTCTAACCCATCAAGGAGAAAGATTACGTGATCCGCGTAACAGATATGTACGTGCGTGCGTAACAGATATGTACGTGCGTACGTAACAGGAACAACTTGGTTACACGAATGCTAATATAAATGAGACAACCCTTTCTTTATTGCAACTGCCAATAAGTTTTTTTAGTTTTACTTATACTCTTGTTTTATAAAAGTCGCGCACAAGCTTACTATTATTAACTTAGTAAAGATGAGTGTGTCAATACTTGAATTAGATCCTGAACAATGCAATAGGGATAATCCACCTTTAGAGGTTATGATTAGCGTTATTATCGTCTGTGGCATGTTGTTAAGTTACTTACCTCAGGTATTTTTCTGCTACGAGTACTCGATTTTTCTAAACAAATACTAAAGGAATGTTTATTGTTTCTAATCAATACAGCATTACAAAATTATTAGTAATAAAAGTAGTGATGGATTGAGTCCTTGGTTCCTTCTGTTGGGGACGCTTTCTTCAACTAGTAGTTTTTTTAACATTTTAATTTTGCAGTTTAGTATGGTCAGGTGTTGTAGTATCGTGGTATGCCTTCGTTAAAATCCCGTGTAATTCAATTTTGATCCTCGTATAATTTACTAATTCCATTTTTATAAATACATTACAGTCCGGACTTCAATGCTTCGAAAACACATTAGGGATCATTCAACTAGCTGTTCAATTTTCGATGTTTGCATTAATATTTGCTCTCTTTATGATATATTTCCCTTCTGAGCGCAAAATTGTACGGTATGTTCGTCACATACACTTTAATTCTCCGCCGACACGTTTGTCGAATGATTGGCGTGACTCGATTGGCATTTCCATTGTTATAACAGTGCATTTCATTTTGACTGTTATTATTTCAACATACCTTTTAAATTTTGGTGGTGCTGCTGAGGATTATCCGGCTACGAAATACTGGGCAGACTCCTTAGGCGTCATGTCTACAATATTTGCATCTATTCAATATTTTCCTCAAATAGTTAGGACGTGGAGACGAAAAGTAAGATTCATGCATTTGTTTTCGTTATGAACGCAATAGAAATACCTGACATCTATTAATTTATCTTTAAATCAACATAGTCTGTAGGCGCACTTAGTATACCTATGATGCTTATACAAACTCCTGGTATGTATATCTCATGTGTTTATTTATTTTATTTATTCTAATTTTTTTTTTAATTGTCGAATTTGCAACATATGCTATTAATTTAGGTTCATTTCTTTTCGTTTACTCACTTGCCATTCGTCCTGGAACAAGGTGGACGACATGGTTTGTTTTCCTCGTTACTGGGTGCCTTCAAGGCACTCTTCTCGTTATGTGTATTTGCTGGCACTACCGAGCAAAACGCCTCGGCTATGGACCGTTCTACGTTGGAGATACAGATTCTGACGGTAAGCCATTGGCACCAGATGAACAAACGAGATTGCTTGGTGGAGGGACCCATGGACACTCAACTACGTCGTCGAGGTATGATAACGCTGTACCTGACGTAGAAAATTCTTAGTTCATTTTTAGTTTTTAGTTTTTTCATATTACTTGGTTAGAATGTGACTGTATTATAGATTCTCCTTCGCTTTGAAGTGGGATTGTTTCATATATACTACTTGTGTTATAGTTTAGTCGTTTATATATTAGACCATTGTATTAGGATTGTAAAATATTCGTATTTGGGGAATTTTTTGTACTTATATCGGGTATCAGGTTTCATCTTAACGTTGTTGTCGAAATAAAGGTTACTATAAATCTATTTAATTTCTTGCAATTTTTAGCACTAATGAATTGTATTGAAATTCTAGTGTATACAAAAGTTTTTTTTTCAAAAAACGCTTATCTATATATTAGTGCCATCAAGGAAAAACCTGTCATCGGGCTTTCAAGTATTTTTTGTACTGGACACTAATTTATTAGGGATTGTGTCCGGTACAAAATATATGTGAATCCCGATGGCAGGTTTTCCCTTGACGGCACTCACGTATTATTATGCATGAAGACCGTTTCTTTAAAGTCCATCTCTACTTTTGCATATATACTATGAAATCAGAATATTTTTTTGTCAATTTAATAAACTACAGTGCGGGAATCCTTAAATCAACATATAAATACATGTTTTTTTAAAAAAATGATTATAAACTAAAAATCTTTATAAAATAATAAAACAAATCCAAAGAAAAAAGCTATGAAGTTTATTTTTTGAGTTAAATAAAATTTAATAAATTATATTCTTTTAAAGTTAACCAATTTTATTAATAGATTATAATTAATTTTCATTCTAGGTAATATTACTTAATATTATAAAATTTTTATTACAAGTAAATTATTTAATGTTAGGGGTTAAAGTTGGTTTTAGGTTGGATTAAAAGAGTTTAAATATATGTAAAATTTGATATTGAAAAATTTTGCTTAGAAGTCAAAGCATGGTTTTTTTTTTTTTAAAAAAAAAAAGAGGTCTATTATCTATCTCTTTATTAATTAGTTAATTTACATATATGGAATACATGCTAAAGAAACTAAGCTAGGAAAGATGAAGGTAAGAGTTATTTTACTCTCAACCTATTTTTGTTAGAATGGTCAGTAAACCTTTAGTCTTTGATAAAATAAAGAAAAGATTTTTCATTAGTAATATAGTACTGTATCTTGAGTTGGTTTAGTTTTAGCTAATATTAAAAACTGTAACAGTGATGGAGTTGGAAAAATAGAATCATGTTGTATTGTTCTAGAAGTAAACCAAAGTTTTTTATATATTGTAATAATAATATTGTGATATTTAAGAGAAGTATATTTCTTTTTATATTAGTTGTTTTCAAAAAAGATCAGTGTATTGGTAGTTATTAGTTTTAGTAATATATGTTTATTAATATAATTTAAAATGAAAGCTTAAGTAAAAGTGTTTATATTATAACATGATATTTCTAAATCATTTAAAATTTTTTATATTGCATCTGTTATTAAGATTATAAAGCATACATAATTCCAGAAACAAGTTAAAAGATGTATTATATGTATCTTCAGATGTATTATAACATTTTGGACAAAGATAATTTAAATGTTTGATAGCATTTTTTCAATAAAAAAGAAGATAAATAGACAGCTCTTTTGATAATAATTTGATTTTAAAGTTTTTTAATGCTGAAGAGAAAGGATCAGTTACTAAGGTCAAGAGTTTCTCTTTATATAATATATATTGTAGAATTAGTAATTAGTTAATATTGTTTTGTGAAATATGTTAGTATAAGATTTGTTGTTAATTAAACCAAGTTATTCTGTTTATGATTTGATATATTTGTTTTACTGTAGTTTTTAGTAAATATATATAAGAGTTACCAAGAAGCTTTAAACCAAAATAATTATATAAAAATTTTTGTAATATGAAATCCAATAGGAAGATATTGTTTTGGGTTTGAGAGATTTGAAGTTCTTATCAAATATGGTCATAAGAGATTGGTTATATATTATTGTTTTTAGTATCAAAAGAAGACAATTATATTGCTATTTGTCTAAACTAGGATAGTTATATAATTAAAAGAATTGTATGAAGGTAATTATATTCACAAGTAAAAAGTTATTAGTATATATTTTTATATTAATACTAGAATTCATTTTAGTAAATATAAAGATTAGCAAGATTATTAATATATTTAGATAAAAAGACTAAAGGTTAGTAAAACAACCAAAGAGGTATTTAAGTATTAAAAACAATATTTGCAATTATAAAGCATTGTTTTTTATATTGTGTTAACCATTTGTTATATAAAATATTAATGTTTTTTTGTTAAAATTATCTTTTGCTAAGGTATTTCAAAGTAGTATAAAAGAGTTGCTAAAGAAGCATAAAGGTTTAGCTAAAAACTAAATTTATTTTTTGTTTTAAATTAAATTATTATTAGTAAAGTTAAAGTTAATGCTTTTTAAAGTTATTAAGATTAATATAAATTCTTTTTTATAATTTATTTGAAGATTATAAATTGGTTTTATAATGTTAAAATAACAGTATATGATTTGTTTTTTAAAGTATATTCTTAACAAACTGTTAAAGTATTATCTAAATATAAAATATAGTATTAGGTTTTAAGATACTTATTAAAAGAATTATGAATTTTCTTACAAATTAAATTCTTGTAATTATTTAGCCTTTTTTGCCAAATGTTTAATTAGCTAAAATATATAAATTTAATTCTAAGAGTGTTAGAAATAAATTTGCAAATGTAGTTATTAGATTATATATTAAGTAAAACTAATAAGAGCATTAATCTCAAGATATTTTTTTAATGTTGTAATAAAAGTTGTTTCATGTTAGCAGTTCTGTATTTATTGAGTTTAAGAATTGTTAAATACTTATAACATTGTAGTTGTTTAGTTTTTCTTTAAGATATAAAGTTTTAGAATGTTTTGTAAGAAATTAATTTATAAATATTTTAATAAACTTTTTTGGATATAACTAGTCATTACTATTATGTATAGTCTGTAGTCTTAATATGTATAATATTATTATCATTTGACAAGTTTATATATTAGTTTGTAATAATAAAAATATTGTAAGTTGTTTTAGAATTAAAATATTAAAAATTTTTTTTTAAATATTAAGATAAATACTTGTGACCCAAAATTTTATTAATAGTATTTTTAGCTAATAGTTGCATTACAACTACAAAGAGCAACTATAGAAAGAATGTACAACTAGCTATTATATAACTTTAGTTATTGTCTAATTTAAGTAGTCTATCTGAAGGTTCTATACTAGCTGCTATACCTGGAACTTGCTTGTAGGTTTTCTATTTAACCACTCTAGTTTTTATATTTATCCATCTATCTCTGTTTACTAATGATCTTGGCTGATGTTAGTAAAAATATGTCATGATCACTAAGTTTTTAAAGCAGTTTTTTGAAACCTTTAATCTTGTTCTAAACCTTCCAGAATCTTTTATATTCTATTCTTACAGCTAACTTAGTATTGCTATGGCTGAAACCAACAATGGCAGTTAAGATATACTATTAAACCACTATGGTCTTGTAGAGTTTATCTTAACTTCAGTACTAACTTCACAACATATCTCTACTACTTTGGTATTCAATTCAAGTTTTACCAAGCTGCCATTTTAGATAACTTAGAAAGGTAGACCATAATCATACTGTTACAAAGTAGATTTTAGTATAGTATATTATAAATAGTATTAGTAGTTATATATATTCTTTATTGTATTTTATAT